GTTTTGTGTCAATGACAGGTACAGTTATCATATGAAAATACATGGTAAAAAATGGCAAATTGAAAATCTTGCAAAAACATCGTGATTCTTGGTAAAAAATGAATCTTTTATCCTCGGCCAAATTACAATATATTAGACCTTGAATGCTGTTTTTCTTAATAAAAATAAATTCTCTAGCCAGGATAGAACCTAAAAGACTGGCTAAAAAGTCAGACACGCTAACCACTAAGCTAGTCAAGATAAGAATATATTCAGACAACCTAAAGTTAACTGCAAACTTTCACAACAAAGTTAAGGTTTTACAGCAAGAGACACGTCAATACAAAAATGATACAAAAGGAAGCATTGCAGCGCTAAGTGAGACTGTTTCTTGAAATGAGATGAGGATTGAAATATATACAATTTCTAATTAAATCCGAGATTTATTGATATTATAAGCGTGTTAAATTTTTTTTTTAGGTTTTATTCAACAAAACATCAAAGAAAGCGAGATAAATGCATTTAGAAAGTTCTATCTTTTCTGAGATTGATTAGTGGTGGTAAAAATAAGAAATTAATCCTCTTTTTTTTTTTTTTTTTTTACAAACACTCAAAATGAGTAATTGCATTTATAATACATGTACCACGAAATTATCACCCCAAATCGTACTTTGGTACAGAAATATAACTTTTTTTACTTTTTAAATTATTTACTGTTCTGTATCTTTCTGAATTTGCATTTTAATTTTCTCATTGGAATATTATTGGAATATTTCACATTTGAAGTAATAAAACACATGTGTATTATAATCAAAATTTGCTCTAAAGTCTCAACTGTCTGCCTTAATAATGAAAAACATATTCAATGTATTGTAAATCGCATTTATGGGGGTCAAATTTTCGAGGTTTGAGGAAAAAATATTGCTTAGTAGAGATTTTATTCCATGGTCGGAAAACATCTAGTAGTTCTGAATACAAAATTTTACATTTCGTGGCAATCAAAATTTTCTGCGTCTTTCTGTGAAATATATGGCGATAACAAAAGGTATTCCAGATCAAAAGTCCACAAACAATACAAAAATAGGCCAGATGCAGAGCAAACACAGACCTCCAAAACATTAAAGGTCTAGGATATCGGGTGTCATGGAGGAGTAAGTATCCCCTGCTGGCCGTCACAACCGCTCCCTGTCATGATCGGTAAATAACTCAAATTTCCATCGCCAATACAGTGTATAAATAATGGACTAACAATTAGTATGAAAAACATCAGTCAGCAATTGACTCAGTAATAAATTGTATTTACTGACAAGGTCATTGTTTCGACCATAGAACTTACAAAACCTTAAAAACATGGAAAACTATGCGTCATGAAAATTTAATGTCACAGAAGTTTTTTCCTCAACATTTTTTGCAATAGCTGAAAAATCAATAGAAATATATTGATGTGTTAAATGCTGATGTGTACTGAAAAAAATTTTAACTGGTTTTAAAAAAATCCTCTGTAAATTTTCTCGCTTACAGTTTATTTCACTTTTACAAAATGCTCCAACTAAATGGCAGTCAGAGATACAAGCAGCTCGTTAGAAAATGGTCATTGGATATGAGTCCGAAGATTATAAGAAGCACTGGGAATTTGAGTCCAATTAAACTTTGATTAATTTAAAAAAATGAAGTTCTTTCGTTTCAAAAATAGTGCAAACACACATAAGATGTGTACCTGAAGTTTATTAATCTCGTTACTATATTGTTCGTCTCAACCAGGAAGAAAGAGAAATAAATTTTTAACATATTTTATTTACCTTTATTTCTGGTATTTATTTCACCCACATAATTTGGCTGATACATGTTGACCATGAGTCAGACATCAGGTGATAAACACATCCTGAAAACTAACAAAAAAAAAATGTATTTAAAATTTCGTGCAGATTTCCAAAATCTAGTGGTACACATGCTTTATGTAACATAAAAAAATGTTACATAAGACACCAATTCATTTTAAATGTAAATATTTAGGAATTTCCTAAGTTGATTTTTGAAACTGACACCAATGGAAATTGCAATACAAACGCTCACATATATAACAAGGAATATCGTTGCAAAGCCTGAATTAGTTCGGACTTGTTGAAGAAATGGTAAGTACATTTGTAATTACTTAAATAAAAACATTTCGTCCTCTTAAATCTCATATTATTATGATTAAGTAGAATTTTACCATTTATAGAAGTCAACATATAAACAGTATGTTCCGACTGTTAGTATCAATTTTTTTTTTGCAAATCGAAATAAAAATACTTACAGAATTCTAAATGTATTTTAAAGAGTATTTTCCAGCAATAGTAATTTCATGAACACAAAATAACGTACTGTTTAAGTAGCATTTTTTTCTAGGAAAAATTTTTTAATGATGTCAAAATTTAAGAAAACTGACAGGAGCTTAGATAATTGTAGTCTGTGCTCAAAATCAAAATAATTTTAAATAGTCTAAAACGTTAGTCTTTTATGATTATTGTAAAATCACACATTTTCGTGGGGTCAAATTTTCATGGTTTAAGTAAAAACTCTTGGTTCGTGGGGATTTGAATTCATGGATGAAGAATCGTCGAGTAGGTAAGTATGTAACATTTATTATTTTGTGGTGGACATGAATTCGTGGGTTTCTTCATACCTCGAGAACAACGAAAACTAACCTTCTACGAAAATTTGTGATTTCACAGAAATTTTAATTACATTAAAAATTTTTCAAGTATTTAATTGTTTTTTTTTTTTTTTTTTTTTTACATATATTGTGCTATATACTTTTAGTTATTTTGAGGAGTAGCAAAGAAGACATTTTCATACGCTGTCGTTCCGCCAACAATATAATCCCTGCTAGATTTTAAATTCAGTTTACCCTTTTTATTACCCACTGTAAATTATACCCCCGCTTGAGAAAGGGAAGGGTATACTGTGATCAGGATGTCCGTCCGTCTGTCCATCTGTCTGTTACGCTTTTGGGTACCCATCTCTTATCCGCAATTCCTTTCATGTCACAGAATAAAATTTTATGAAACTTTAACAGAATCTTTATTACATATTGTCATTGTGCAACTCCTATTTTACCTTTTATCCAACACATATTTTGGATTTTCAATAGCAAAATATGGACACTGCTATTTAAACACATATGGGAGGCGGGGGTATAATTTAGTAAGCTCATTGCTCACAGCACCTCTAGTTTAAAGTTGTATAATTGTGATGAGGAAAGAAAATATGATCTTTTAAATTCATGAAATCTAAATATATTAGACATACAAGTTTGGCTTTCCAGAAAGCCTGAAATGTCATCTCTTTGGCTTCATTAATGTCACAGAATAAACAGTAAAGTGTAATATTTTCTCAACTATTACAGATTTTTCTATTCTGGGGAAGGGGAGTGGCAGCTTACCTTAACAATTTTAGATTAGGAAAAAGGACAGAGATCAAAATCTTATGCTGTGGATGTTACGGTATTATTTTTTTTTTTTTTTTCGAAAAACAAATTCATTTTGTTAAGTACATGACTATACTCGTGACTTCCCACAAATTTTTATTAAAATAGAAAATTTGGAAATTTTCTATTTTAATAAAAATTTGTGGGAAGACACTCAAACAAAAAGATATTGGCATTGAACAATTACAGCAGTAAAAAGTTAAAAGGGCTGGTACACAGATTTGTAGATGTGATTTTCTAAAATTGTTTAAATTTCACGATTAAATGTTGCTATAGCATTTTACACTGCATATATATATAATGTTTTCTCTTTTATCTGTAAATTATCAAAACTACAAAGTGTGAGACAGTTTCACTGCATGAAATATATATCCAAGTCTCTTTTATCTGTAAATTTTCAAAGTGTGAGACAAGTTTCATTGACATATAAGCACTTTCACAAAAGCTTAATCCATGATAGAGATAACTTTTTATGACAAAAGTGCCCATTATCCCTTTAAAAATTTGTCAAATGGAAGAGTTTTTTGTGCAATTTTGCCCAGTAAGCCATGCTATAATTGAATTTTACATCGCATTTCCATTTCCTTTTAATAATCATAAGATTATTTTTAATGTAAAAAAATGTTTATGTCCCACTACGCAGTATTTGTAAAATTTGTATAAATAAAAAAAAATCACAAGAATTACTCGGGTAAAATCTTAGCCTTCCTTTTGAAGTTACATATTGCATGTATTTCGCAGCTTCTTACTCCATGAAGCGCTAACTTAATCAACTCCAAACCCTTTCCAAACATTTCACGTTAACTAAATTTCCATTCCTTAAAGTGATATGGTCGTCAAACCCCTTCGGTTTTAAAGGGGGAGATGAACTAAACTTACATCAAAAAGTTTACTATTACCAGGGGTACTATACAGCACTGGTGGATTTAGAGGGTACCGTGCCCAGACTCACAGTTTTTTTTGGTCCAAAATATACATAATATTTAATTAAATCATTTTTTGTGTGGCTTTGGGCCCCTACCCAACGTTCACATGCTTTGAAGCATAAGTAAGTAATAACATTTAAATGCTATCAGCTAAAATCAAGCATTTACAAAATATCAGAGTAAAGTTCTCATTTGCCAACCCCGAACTTACGGCTGTTTTCGTAATATACAGTATTGTGCCATTAGTGGCCGTCCAAATTCACATGCAGTGCGTATATTTTTTTGTGTTTTAGTAAACTTTATCTGCATACTAAACATGTAAACTATTATGTATTATAATTTGGTCTTCATTTCAATAATATAGGAGGGGTGAATTAAAGATGTTTTTGACATTTATGCAATTAAAACTGCATAAAGAAAATGATTGCAAGTTCTTTCATCATGATAAATCTTTAAAAAGAATAGATAATACATGCAAGAAAATACTCATAATCATTCTTTGTGATCTTTCATTCAATTTTTTTTTATAGACATTAATGTATCCGCTTATAACTTGTGCTTTTAATTTCTCAATGAATTTGATTGTATTACAAAGTATTTCAAAAAAAATGACACCGCATTATAGAATGACTAATGTACCAAAAAATTGAAGTTTTCACCATCAATTCCTATTAGTCAGTAATGCGATTACTTATGTGAATGTTTTTATTTGATGTTGTTTTTCAATTCTTGGATCCACGCCTCGGCTGCAGAGGATCTTTACACACGCGCTGACCTAGTTAGAAGATTCTATCGAGTTATGGTCATCATTTAGGTAATAGCCAAGAAGAATTTACATATAAAAACATACAGTGTATATTTTGGAAAACACCATTATTCAGGCAATTGTGTGTGTTGGTCTCTGTATGATTTCTTTGCAGCTTGTTTTCTTTATCAATAATAAGGCTGATCGCTCGTTGTTGACATCTCTATATTTAGAAAAACTGAGCAGTCGGTGATCTTCGGGTGGCCTCGCACTTTTTGAATATAGCGTTTTTAAAATTTGAAAAAATTACACTGGGACTTCACATCAGGAAATCAAACTTTAATGTGTCATCTCTTGAGAGATTACAATAAGCAACTTCTTTTCTAAATTTTCCTTGGCTTTCAAATAGGCCTAAACACGCTATAAAAGAAAACCAGTTTCATCATATCATATTACTGTTAGGAACTCCTTGTGTAGATTCTCACTTGAGATATAAAACATCGAGGATTCTCGAAGAATTAATGGAGGCTTACACTAGGACTTCACTTCCGGCATACAATCTTAATGTGTCATCTCCCGAGGGAGATGACAATAAGCAAATGTACTTTGAATATTTCATCTAGTCAGAAACCAATCAAGAATCCTTCCTTACTGAAAGCGCTAAGTCATTTTATTAAGATATTTTTGACGTTTATTTAAAGGGAAAATTAAACTTCATCTTTGTTTACGCAACTTTGGCGGCACTGGTCCACTCTCAGAATTCTGAATCCCTTGTTGGCGTAAACCTGAATGTAGACCAAAGTGGTATATTTGAGGTAGGGGCAACATTGGAACACAAAATTCAACATAAGGATACCAGTTCCAGTGTTTCAGTGTCTGCCAATGTTAACTCTGATGGCGAATGGGGTGTCGGATTCAGCTTTAACAAGGAGTTCAAAAGGTCAACCGGTGAGAATAAGGTAAGTGAAATATCTGCTACGTCTTTTTAATGCTTAATATCTATGTATTTTCAAAAAAGTATCCCTTTTCTTTCTTTTTCAGTTTCGTTAAACTTTGAAAATCAGTAGACACATATGTGGATTTTTTCGAAAAGCAGGTTTTCTTCAATTTTAAATATATCACGTGCATAAATAAAGTACTTAATTTTACTTAATTTGTATTTTGGTAATACAAATCTTTTCTTTTTGTGCAACAATACCGGTATTTACAAGCAGAAAATAGCAATTTATTATAGATATGAACTCTTACAATTATGAGAGTTTCATTGTTATAACAATTCTGACTGATTTAACCTCTACTAATTTGTGACATATTCTTTTTTTTCAAAATTGAAAAGCATACCGGACGTTACGTCGTTTGGATTGTAGCCAATCAGTGTAACTTCCGCACATATGATCAGAATGGGGACAATCTCATAAGTCTGGACGAGATGAAGGCGCTGTTTGTTGATCCAGACTTTGGAATTAAACTTTTCAACGATCTGAATTCTAATAATGGTATATTACCTTTATTTCAAGGTCCCATCAACATCTGCACATGACACAACCCCAAGCTTTTTGTTCAATAATTTTTGAGATAACAGTTTCTGGAAATACGAATATTTTATCTACTGTAAGCTAGAAGTCTGATGTCCCTAAAATATATCAATATAAATACAATTGCACGTTGTGTCAAATATTTGTGGTTTGAGAAATAATATTGGTTCGTTGAAATTTGATTTCATGGATGAAGAAGTGCTTTGTCGTAATCTGTGAAAAATTGTACACTGGGAAATTAACGAAATTTACATCCTCAAGATGTCTTAGTTATGTGTTTTTTTCCAACTAAGTAAAAGAATCAGGACTGAACAGTACTGAATCATATCTTATGATTTATTCATTTCGACATATAAAAACCTTGATAAAAATTAATTTTCAATAAAGATTTAATCTTACATTTTGTCGCAGTGCACCGGGATACTAAATTATCAACCTTACACTTAAAGCACACAAACATATATCAGAAATCTAGTCAAGTTTTCAAATGGGGTTATAAGTAATCAATTTTCTGAAGTTTGTATTTATTATGGAAAACAATGATGGTGAAATATTAAAAATAAATAAAGTCGATTTCTTGGACTACCTAAAAAATTGTTGTTAATGGGGTCGATTTTGGCCACTGGAGCCCTACCTCTTTCTGGTCGGACTATGTCATGTCCCAAGATGACCATTTTTAATTAAAAAAAAAAACATATATTTGTTTGGGGGCAATTGCGTATTTTTTCAACCATTCAATATAATATATTAATAACAGGGTTCTTAATGCTTCTTACAATTAATTTATATCAACAACACATGAAGAATATTCGTGATAATATGATCAGTTTCCTTTTCTTGTTTTAGGAATAAGAGTAATAACTGAACAGGAATTCAACATGAAAACTCCCCACGTGATCAAAGGATGTGACGTCATCGACGCGGTAGCGAAGGTACACCCAACAATTGAACAAATCAGGCAAAACACCAAACAAATCTTGGATATTATTCGTTCGGAAAACATAACAGAAAGTGGATAAACTCATTCTATTTAGATCTTTAATTTCATTATTGGCCTTTTTGCAAAGTTTTGATTTGTTGTTATTGTGCATTTCTGCAATAGGCATTTCTATTCATTTGGTTCTTAAACATTATGCTTTTAAAAGTGTCTGAATTGAAGTCCATTGTCTAGAAACTGATGAACTTTGAAAAATAAATATATTTTATTCTGCCTTTCGCTTTTATTATTTTTTTGTCCAATAACTCTGTCAAATAATAATTTATATGTATATTCTATTGCTTTTGCAATACAAAGATTTCTGAATACATGTAATGCATTTAGTCAGATATATGGTTTGCTCTTTACAAGTTTCATTCTTTTTGTC